TACTACTACTACTACTACTACTACTACTACTACTACTGCTACTTTACTACTACTACTACTACTAGTACTACTACTACTAGTACTACCACTGCGACGACGACGATGACGACTACTACTACTACTACTACTACTACTACTACTACTACTACTACCACACTGCTTACACGACGACTACTACTACTACTGTTATTACTACTGCTACTACTGCTACTACGACTACTACGACTACTACGACTACTACTACTACTACTACGACTACTACTACTACTACTACTACTACTACTACTACTACTACTACTACTACTACTACTACTACTACTACTACTACGACTACGACTACGACTACGACTACTACTACTACTACTACTACTACTACTACTATTTCGACTACTTCGACTACTTCGGCGACTTCGACTACTACTACTACTACTACTACTACTACTACTACCACTACTACTACTACTACTACTACTACTACTGCCACTACTACTTCTTCCTTTCTCTCTACCATACTACTACTACTACACTACTACTACTAACTAGTACACTACTACTAAACTACGAACTACTACCACTATCTATACTACTACTACTACTACTACTAACTACTATACTATTACGACTACTACTACTACTACTACTACTATACTACTCTACTACACTACTACTAATATTACTACTACTATATACTACTAATACTACTCTACTACGATTACTACTACTACTACTAACTACTACTACTACTACTAGCTACGACTACTACTCGACTACGACTACGACTACGACGCCAATTGCTGCTGCTGCTGCTTGCTACTACTACTAATACTTTCTACTACTCCTTACTACTACTACTACTACTACTCTACTACGACTACTACTACTGTTGTTACTACTACTGTTACTCTACGATTACTACTACTACTACTACTACTACTACTACTACTACTACTACTTCTACTACTACTACTACTACTACTACTACTACTACTACTACTACTACTACTACTACTACTACTACTACTACTACTACTACTACTACTACTACTACTACTACTACTACTACTACTACTACTACTACTACTACTACTACTACTACTACTACTACTACTACTACTACTACTACTACTACTACTACTACTACTACTACTACTACTGATACTACTACTACTACTACTACTACTACTACTACTACTACTACTACTACCCATCCGACCCCTCCAAGGACGCCCCTGCGAGCACTGTATCGGCATACCACGTTACGTATCAGGTTTCGCGCCCTTCACACCCTTCAGGGAGGCCCAGCCAGAGCGAGACATACCATCTTATGTATCAGGTTTCGCGTCCCCCCCACCCCTCCAGGGAGGCCATGCCAGAGCGAGCGGGGTATCGGCATACCATGTTATGTATCAGGTATCGCGCCCTTCCCACCCCTCCAGAGATGCCCCGACAGAGCGAGCAGGGCATCAGCATGCCATATTGTGTATCAGGTGTCGCGCCCTTGGAGGCCCCGCCAGAGCGAGCAGGGCGTCGACATACCATTTTATGTATCAGGTATCGCGCACCTCCCACCCCTACAGGGAGGCCCCGCCATAGCGAGCAGTGCATCGGCATACCATATTATTTATCAGGTTTCGTGCACCTCCCACTCCTCCAGGAGGGCCCCGCCATAGCGAGCAGGTCATCGGCATACCATGTTATTTATCAGGTTTCGTGCCCCTCCCACTCCTCCAGGGAGGCCACGCCAGAGCGAGCGGGGTATGAGCATCGGAGGTGAGGGGGTGAGATCGAAGTGGAACGGAGAGCCCCCCTACCAGGAAATCTGTTTCGGCTTCGTGTTCGTGCGTGCCGTGCGTGCGGGCGAGGCGAAGCTGCGTGGGCGGGCGAGAAGAAAGTCTCCTCCGGCTGAGGCGCGGCCGGACCAAATGATTCTTTTCTAGAGGCCGGTGGCCCGCGGTGTCCCGCCTCCGGCTGAGGCGCGGCCGGACCAAATGGTTCCTTTCCGGGAGCCGGTGGCCCGCGGTGTTCCGCCGGTGTCTCGTCGGTGTCCCGATGATGACGATAATGATGACGACGACGACGACGATGATGATGATGATGATGATGATGATAACGATGATGATGACGATGATGATGATGATTTTGATGATGATGTGGATGATGATGATGATGATGATGATGATGATGATGATGATGATGATGATGATGATGATGATGATGATGATGATGTTGATGCTGATGTTGATGCTGATGCTGATGCTGATGATGATGATGATAGTGGTTGTGGTGGTGATTGTGATGGTGATGGTGATGGTGATGATGATGTCGATGATGTTGATGATGATGATGGTGGTGATGATGACGGTGTGCCGATGATGGTGATGATGATGATGATGTTGACGATGTTGCCGATGTTGATGATGACGATGGTGATGATGATGGCCATGGTGGTGATGATGATGGTGTCCCGATGGTGATGATGATGATGATGGTGATGTTGCTGATGATGATGATGGCGTACCGATGATGATGACAATGTTGATGATCCTGATGATGTTTATGATGATGAGATGATGCTGATAATGGTGATGAAGATGATGATGATGATGATGGTGTCCCGATGATGACGAAGATGATGATGATGAGGTTGATGGTGATGTTGTTGATGATGATGGTGATGATGATACTGTCCCGATGATGATGATGATGATGATGATGATGTTGATGATGATGGTGTCCCGATGACGATGACGATGTTGATGATGTGGATGATGATGAAGTGATGATGATTTTGATGATGGTGGCCCGATGATGGTGATGATGATGATGCTGATGTTGATGATGATGGTGTCCCGATGATGATGATGATGATGATGATGATGGTGATGATGATGGTGACGATGATAATGGTGTCCCGATGATGATGCTGATGTTGTTGATGATGATACTGCTGATGGTGATGTTGTTCATGATGATGATGAGATGATGCTGATAATGATGATGATGTGGTGTTCCGATGCTGGTGATGACGATGGTGTCCCGATGATGATGATGATGATGATGATGTTGATGATGATAATGGTGACGATGATGGTGTCCCAGTGATGATGATGATGGTGATGTTGATGCTGTTGATGATCATGGTGATGAGATGATGATGACGATGGTGTCCCGATGATGATGATGTTGATGATGGCGTTGATGACGATGATGACGATGATGATGATGACGTTGATTGTGAGATCGATTGTGATATCGATAGTGAGATCGACAGTGAGACCCGATGTGAGATCGATTGTGAGATCGATAATGGGATCGAGTGTGAGATCGATAGTCAGATCGATTGTGAGATCGATCGAATGAAGTAGATCGAGTGAGATCGGTTGTGAGATCGATCGAGTGAGATCGATCGAGCGAGACCGACAGTGATATCGATAGTGAGATCGATAGTGAGACCGATCGAGTGAGACGTTGGTTCCTCCCCCCCCCCCGAACCTCCTTATCACCCGAAGGATGGTCGTATTGGTACCATCTTATGTATCAAGTGTCGCGCACCTCCCACCATTCCAGGGATGCCCCGCCAGAGCGAGCATGGCATCAGCATGCCATGTTGTATATCAGGTGTCGTGCCCCTCACTCCCGTCAAGGGAGGCCCCGCCAGACCGCGTCTGGCGAGTGTGCCCTCCCCTGAGCCCGCGACTGAATGAAACCCTGATGTAAGAAACTCCGATACCATAATTTGTCAAACTGCTGCTCTGAAAGCCCATATGTGTGCGAAAACGCGCTTCCCCCTTGAGCACCGCGTTCTGGACGAACTGAGCACTGAAACGCCGACGCCTGACGGGCCGCACAGAAGAGGAAGAGCAAGATTGGCCCGCTGGGCGGAGGGCCGAGGAGGGATTGCAAGAGGCTGGCGCAGGGGCCTCACGCTGGCACCACCAGCCTTCTGGGAGGCCTCCCCTGACCCCGTGGCGATCAGGCCCTGACCCCCGCGTGGTGGCCCTGCCCAGCGGCACCGCCCACGCTTGGCGACCAAGGCCCCGTCCTGGCCTCCCGTGGAGCCTCCGCTCCCAGGGGCACCGCCGCGTCAGCGCGCGTCGGCCAGGACAGTGCGCGGCCGCCAGGACAACCTTTCCCCCCCCTTCGGTTTCCCAAGGAGCCTCCCAGGTGCTCCCTTGGCACTGCGGCGCCGCCCCACGCGCGACGGCCGGACCTCCTCACGCCGCTCAGGAGCTCCGCTCCAGTGAGGCTTCCACTTCCGCCGTCGCATCTCACACGCCCTTTGAGCGCCCGAGCCCGTCTGTGGCACCACCCGAGAAGTTTCTCGTCTTGAGGGCGCTCTGGCCGTCCCGTGGCCCTCGCGGCAGCTGGCGAGCTGCGCTGCTGTCGCTCGCCTTCGGCCCGAGGCAGACCCGCGTTCCGCGGAGTGACCTACCTACCTACCCTTCCCGCGTGCCCACTTAGCACCCGTCGCGCCCCGTCGTTCGCTGTTCGCTTGCTGGAGCCAGCTCGCCGCCGGTCGAGGATCTCACGCGCCCGCGGGGCCGCCAGGGGAGCGGGGGGGGATCTCTTGTTGGCCTTCCCGAGGGGGGTGGGAGTGCGGGCTTCGTCGCCGCGACCCGACGGTGCTCGGGAAACGGGCCGGGAGGGAATGTGGAAGGAGTTTTGGGCTGGGCGGGGACGTCGAGGAGATGCAGCACGAGGTGGCACGATTTGTCTCCCATCGGGGAAAGAAAAAACTGCACAAGCATAAACTGTTGGAGCTCCGCGCGGATTTCTTGGATCTGCGCTGGGCCCCCCTGGCGGCGCCTCTGGCGCTGCCCTTGGCGCGCTCTGCACGCCACGGGGGGGCCTGCGCAGATCCAAGAAATCGGCGCGGGGCAAGAAAAGTTTATATGCATGCCTTTGCTTCGTCTTGCATCCAATATCATTCGATTTGTTGTACCATTCTTTCTGCCTCCTCTGCACTCGCACTGCAGAGTTCGGAGTTCGGGGCCGCCAAGGTCAGGCCGTCCCGTACATATCCGTGGTTTCCCACGTGATGGCGACGCGGGCGTCCTTGGCTTCTGGCGGCGACCAGGGCCCGTCGTTTTCTGGTCATGGCGGGCAGGGTGCGCACGATTTCTTCGTGGGCGACGGCTTCAATTCCGACGACCGCACCACGATAATGATGTGCAATATCCGCGAGGTTAGCGCCTTTCTCTGGAAACCCATAGGTGAGTTGTAAAGGCAGTCCAGGTCAACGTGCGCTCCTGGGACCCATGATCTGGTCGAGGCTGGGATGGCAGGCTGGCTGTTGCAGATTGGAAGGATCTCAGGCAGTATGCTACGGGTTCAGAAATTCTAGACGCTTCACGTAACCCAACCAGCCCATCCAGAAACGATGCCCAGAGGAGGAATTGCCTCGATCAGGGAAGTGGGCAGCACACAGAGGAAGGGTCCCCCGGTGGAGGCCTCTTGGAGCATCTTGGGGGCCTCTTGGCGCTCCCAGACGCCTCTTAGAGAGTTTTGGGTGCCTCGGAGAGCTCCATGGGGCCTCTTGGGGGTCTCTTGGGAGCCTTTTGGAGGCCTCTTAAGCGCCTGTTGAGGCCTCCTGGGCGCCTCTTGGGACCCTCTTGAAGCGCTCTTGGGGGACCTGGGACCGCTCTTGGAGCCCTCTTGGGCCATCTTGGAACCATCTTGAAGCCTCGGATGGCCATCGGAAGCGAAAAGGCGAGAAAGCCAAAAACAATGATTTCCCTGAGGTCTTGGAAGGATGTTGGCCTCTTCGGGGCATCCTGGGGGAGCTCTTCGGCAACTTGGAGCCGTCTTGGAGCGGTTTTGGGGTTCTTGGAGCATCGTGGGAGCCACCTTGAGGCATCTTGGGATATCTTGAGCGATCTTGGAGGTCATCTTGGACTCTCCCAGGCGCTTTGGGAGTCATCTTAAGCAGTGCCCCCCCCTCCCCCCCCCAGGAGGCCAAAATGTAGCCAAAACCTTAGTAAAATCAATGATGTTGGCATTCTCGCCGAGGCCCCTTGGAGCGGCTTGGGTGCCTTTGGGGGGCCTCTTGGGGCCTCTTGGGGTCTCTTGGGAGCCTCTTGGGGGCATCCTGGGGGCCTCTTGGCGGCCTCTTGGGGCCTCCTGGCCACCTCTTGGAGCCCTCTTGGGGCACCCTTGGGAGCCTTGGGAGCGCTCTTGGGGCCATTTCGGAGGAGATCGATCAAGGAAAGGGGGGTCTTGATTAGCGCCGCCCCCCCAAGAGGCCAAAATGGGGCCCAGTAAGACCAATGATTTGGGCTTCCTCGCCGAGGCCGTTTTGGACGCACCGGCGACCCGCGGAACGCCCCTCCAGGTCCACGGGAGAGGGTAGGGGGAGGGGTCAAGCTACCCCCTCCCCGCCCGCAAGCCGTCCCGCTCACCCCCACCCGCCCTCCCAGCACATACGTAGCACCCGAGTCTGGCCCGAGCCTCAGCATATTCAGCAGTCGTGTTGGGATGGGCAGCTACTGAGGGCCAATCCGCCGCCGCCGCCGCCGCCAGCGCCGCCGCCGCCGCCGCCGCCGCCGCCGCCGCCGCCCCCGGCTGCCAAACCGCCGCCGCCGCGCCGCCGCCGCCGCCTGCCGCCGCCGCCGCAGCCGCCGCCGCCGCCGCCCCCCCCGCCGCCGCCCCCCGCCGCCGCCCCGCCGCCGCCAGCCGCCGCAGCCGCCGCCACCGCCGCCGCAGCCGCCGGCCGCCGCCGCGCCAAGTGTACTCTGCATTGTTTTGTTGACAGGGATGGTGTGGGGGGGGGGGCGCATCGGGTTGGCTGCGCATGTTCCGAATTTGGAGGCAGAGTGTGTTTTGTATGTTTTTTACAAGGGATGGTGGGGGGGGTGGCATGGACCGCGGTTGGCCCCCAGTCGCCTGGGGGAGGTGGTGTTTAGTAATAGGGAACAGTGATCAAGACTCCCTCCCCGCAAGCCGTCTCGCTCACCCCCACCCGCCATCCAAACACATACGTAGCACCCGGGTCTGGCCCGAGCCGCAGCATATGCAGCAGTCGTCTTTGGATGGGCAGCTACTGGGGGCAATCCGCCGCCGCCGCCGCCGCCGCCGCTGCCGCCGCCGCCGCCGCCGCCCGCCGCCGCCGCCGCCATCGCCGCCGCCGCCGCCGCCGCCGCCGCCCCTGCCTGCCGAATCGCCGCCACCGCAGCCGCTGCCGCCGCCGCTGCGCCACCGCCGCCGCCGATGCGGCCGCCACCGCCGCCGCCGCCGCCGCCGCCGCCGCCCCCGCCTCCGCCGCCGCCACCGCCGCCGCCACCGCCGCACCTGCCGCAGCCGATGCCCCCGCCGCAGCCGCCACAGCCGCCGCCGCCGCCAAGTGTACTATGCATTTTTTGGGCAGGGATGGTTGGGGCAGGCCGCCGAATTTGGAGGCTGAGTGTGCTTTGTATTGTTTGTTACAAGGGATGGTGGGGGTGGGCCCTCATTGGCTCGGGTTGGTTCCCAGTCGCCTGGGGGAGGGGGCGTATATCAATAGGGAACAGTGATAAACCCATTCCCAAAGGGGAAGAAGGGGGTGGAAGAGGAAACACCCTAAACCACCTACGCCCTAAAGGGCTTGTGGGGTCCACCCGATCTCTCACCGTCATGTTGCGGCTATTTGGTGAAAGAGAGCAGGAAAGTTCCTTCTCATCCACTTGTCCCTCATCATCCTTTCAGTCGATGGACAGAACAGAACACCCCACCCTCGTCGCTCCCCCGACAGCTGGGGGCCGGCAGATTCCATTATCCTACACGCGCGACATTCTCATGGACATGCTGAATGCCTGCGGTTGGCGCACGTTTTACGACTTTGTCTACGTGCCAGTAAATTTCGTCTGCATGCGGGGCGTTGGTTACGCTTTTGTAAATCTGGTCCAGTGGCGCTGCCGCGCGACTCCGCCACCGCGCCTTGGGAGGGGGGAGCGGCTCGGGGGGAGGGGGGGGGGCAGGGGAGGCTTCCCGTGCGAGGCCCCACACCGCGGCTGCATGCATGGCACCACTCCTCGGGCACGGAGCCAGGACGCGACAGGGCGACAGGATCTGTGTACGCATCCGCCGCCGCTGGCCAGGCCCATCTCGGGACCAGGAGCGACGTATACGCCCCCGTGGCCTGGCCAGGGAGCACGCACACCCCTCCTGGGCTCGGGATGGGCCTGGCCTGCGGCCGTGGACGCGACACAAGAAACGGGCGCACGCTGGGGCACGGCGCGCCGGGGATGGGGGGGGGTGGCCGACGGTGGCCCCGCAAGGCGCGGGGCGGGCAAGGCGAGCCCCGGGGGGGCCGACGCACGCCTGCCGCCGCACACCGCGCGGGGGGCGGCTCTCCCCCGAGCAGGCCAAGACGTTTTTCCTCCTCTTCGACGGCTTCGAGGGGTGGGAGTACAGCACCGCGAACGCGTGCCGGATACAGTGGAGCGACGTGCAGGGCCTCCAAGAGAATTCGCGGCGCTTCGCGGCGGAAGAGCCCCCGGGGGGAATGTGCGGAGCAGCAGCAACCAGTGTGTCCAGGCCACGAGGCGGGCGAGAAGCGGGAGAAGGATGAGGAGGAAGACGACGAGGACGAGGATCCCCGACGAGGACGCGGAGGAGAGCGAGGAGGAGGAGGAGGAGGAGGAGGAGGAGGAGGAGGAGGAGGAGGAGGAGGAGTGGGAGAAAGGCAAAGGGAAAGGAGGGGAGAGGGCAAGGAGGGCAATGAGCACGATAGAAGGGAGGAGGGGAGGGCAAGGAGGGCAATGAGTATGATAAAAGCGCTTGGTGCGTGGAGGCGCAGATCAGAGAAGGGGAAAGCAGAGTCAGTGGAGCGGGCCTGCTGGGGGTTGGGCGGGGGAGCGGGCGAGCGAGGTGGGAAGTGAAGAGGGACTTGGGGGTCTGCGCAGAAGAGAAGGCGGGGGGGGAAGGAAGGGAAGCTCATTTGGGAAACGGGGATCGCGTACCATTCGAGAGTAAACGGCCCCACTTGGGGTTGGGCGGAAGAGCGCATGAACGAAGTGGGAACGGATAGACGGTCAGTGGTTGCCCGGGGTTGGGCAGTGGGCAGGACAGGAGGTTGGACCAGCCAGGTAGGGAGAGGGAGGAGGGAGGAGGAGGGAGGAGGGAGGAGGGAGGGGGGAGGAGACAGGAGGGAGGAGGAGGGAGGCGGACAGGAGGGGGGAGCAAGGAGCAAGGAGAAAGGAGGAGGGAGGCGGGAGGAGGGAAGAGGGAAGAGGGAGGAGGAGGACTCTGCTGGGTTCTGCTGCGCTGCCACGCATGCGGCTCCTAAATCACCAACCGCGGAGGAACACGAGCCTCCGCGGCCGCTCGGGCCCTGCGCAGGAGGAGCACGAGCCTCCGCGAGCGCGTCGGGCGCAGGAGGAACACGAGCCTCCGCGCCGAACCGGGAGTGCCGCAGGAGGGCACGAGCCCCCGCGGCACTCACGACGCGGCCGACTTTTCGGGCAGGATGCCGAGCTTCACCAAGAGTGCCGTCCGCTCGTCCTCCTCCGAAGCCGAGAGAACCTCGACCACCTCCTCAGCTGCCCCGTCGAGCCCGGCCTCCGCCTGCGCCAAGACGATCTTGGCCTGCTCGACGTCGAGGGCCGCACGAGTCACGACCTCGTACTTCCTGGCGATCGTCTCGCCAGTGTCGTCCGTTTCCACGACGTCCGCGACCTGCGGCGCTTTCACCATCTTCTGGATCTCCTGGTCGGCCACGGCCGCCTCGAGGAGCATCGTGCCTTGGCCAGCCACGCCGTTGGGGACCGCCACCTCGGCGCCGATGGCCAACCCTTCCACGAAGTTCTGGGCCTCGCCGTGCTGCCGCGTCGCCGTGGCCTTCCGCGTGTCGATCTCGATCGAGACCCTCTCCGAGGCCGAAATGGCATTGGCGAGCTCCTCCAGGAGCTTGGCGATCACCAGCTCCTAATGCTGCAACACCGAGTCCACGTACACGTTGAGCTGCTCCTGCACGTGGGGAACCTCCTTGACCTTCTTTATCTTCTGGTTATCCTCCTTCTCTTTCTCCTCAACGACCTCCTTCAACTTCTGCACATGATCGACCCTTATCGTCTCCTCTTCGTCCTCGGAGTCCGTCGCCACCATCGTCTTGGGTGTCTCCGAAGACGTCCATGATAGAGACGGGTCGCACGTACTGCACGAAGTGGAGCTGCTTGGGATCGAACTGGTCGCCGCGAACGTGAAGAGTGCCGCGCCGACCTCGGCGATCAGGCCAGAGTCCGGGTGGGCTGCCCAGCGTCTGCCCGCACGCAGCGCCGCCCATCGCTCCGCCAAGGCGGGCTGCTCCTTGGCGAGGGCACGCCGTACCTCTTCCGACGTGGCCTTAAAGCCCAGGGCGAGGCGCCGCCCTGCGCCGTGCAAGACCTGCTCGTAGCTCTCGAGGGCGCAGCCGCCCTCCGGGCCGCCGCCGTCCGCCAGGCGCAGCATCAGCTCCGCGGCGGCAGCCACCGTGTCGCAGTGTGCGACACACAGCCCGTGTCGCACCAGCGGGCCCCTCGCGCGCCCAGCCCGCACCGTCGCGCGCGCACACTCCGCCCGCGCCCAGCAAGGGAGGGGGCCAGCCGCAGCTTGAGCCACAATGGCTACGGAGGGAGGAGGAGGAGGAGGAGGAGGAGGAGGAGGAGGAGGAGGAGAAGGAGAAGGAGTTGAGAGTGGAGGAGGGGGAGGAGGAGGAGGAGGAGGAGGAGGAGGAGGAGGAGGAGGAGGAGGAGGAGGAGTAGGAGGAGGACAAGGACGAGGACGAGGCTAGAGTGCCACCACTCGGCCTGGTGGGCTGGGGTCGCCCAGCCAGCGGGTATCCTGCGCTACCAGAATAGCCCCATCATGAACGAGGACCCATGGTTCGCTGGCCGCCCGAAGGGCCCAGGGTGCCCAGGAGCAACCAAACCGCATCACCATCCTCGCCCCCGCTTCCCTCGTTCCCCAGAGAGTGACTGCACTGGAGGGGTATCACTTTGGTCTGCGGCTCCAGGGTTTCGCGAGGCGCCCGCCTCGTCGCCGCCGCGTGCGCAGGCCGGCGGCTCTCTGGGCTGCCACCCGTTGCCCCCCTGGCGCCGCCCCGCGCGTGCGCTGGCTGACGGCTCTGGGCTGACGCCCCGTGCCCGCCCGTCCGCCGCCGCCCCGTGCCCTGGATCGCGGTTCCTGGCTGTCGCCCGGCGCGCGCCCGTCGCCGCCTCGTGCGTTGGTTGGCAGTTCCCGGGTGCTCGCCCGGTGCCCGCCCGCAGCCGCTTCGTGCGTTGGCTCGCGCCTCAGGGCTCCAAGAGAGTGAGGCACACGGCTTGCTCCACGCAGGGTGCACCGCACGATTTCCTTTCGCAGCCTGCACCACGCAAGAGGTTGCACCGCGCAGGGTGCACATGCAGTCAAGACGCCGAAAGGAGGGCCCATCTGGGGCTCAGGAGGGGCCCTGGCGTTTGTGGCCGAGGCGCACCGTGGCCGAGGTCCACCGTGGCCAGGAAAGCCCTTTTGTTCCTTACAGTCGGGGCGCTGAAGAAGGAACTCTTTTCGTTGGGTAGGGGCTCCGTGTTCCTTAATTATTTCACCGTATGCCCCACGTTTTCCTTAGGTTTTCGAAGGGAAATCGAAGTTCAACTTCTAGAGAAAAGGGGCCTCGTTCCTTATTTAGGTTAGGGGTCCTTAGGTCAGCGCCCCAACTGTATTCAGTTTTTTCGCATGGTGGCACGATGACTGTAGAACAATGAGCCATATCGGATGCACATCGAGAGTGCAGGAACCCGCGTCTGGGGTTGCACGCTGGCAGGCACTGTTTTCTCAGTCTTCGGGAGCTCCCCTCGTCGTCGCGGCTGGACGCAGCTCGAAAGCTGGCCAGGATGGACTGTGGGAGGAGGAGTCCGCGGATTTCTTGTCAGCGCTCTTGGAGAAATCCAGGCGCCGTGAAAAGCGTAATTATGGCAGCCCATGATTCTTCAGTCTGGACCCCCCTCCTCCTCCTCCTCCCCCTCCTCCTCCTCCTCCTCCTCCTCCACCTCCTCCTCCTCCTCCTCCTCCTCCTCCTCCTCCTCCTCCTCCTCCTCCTCCTCCTCCTCCTCCTCCTCCGGGCCCGAGGCCACCAGAAGACGCCAGGGCGGGGTGCGAAAGGTCAGCCCCAGGGAAGGGGCCGAGAGCTCCGAGGGCCGCAGGTTGAGCGGAGCACGATCGGCCAGTTTTGGGGGCAACGCCGGGCGCGTCTGCCTGGCCCTCTGGAGGGCATCTCCGGCTGCTGCAGGGATCCCCCTGACTCCCGCGGGGGCCGGCGAAGCGAGCAATGAGTCAGTATTGCTTAACATATCCATGTCCCCACCAGGCCATGATATCTCGGCCCCATCATCCCAGCACCCCAGTGGGGGATAGGCCCCTCGAAGCCCGAAGGGAGCAGCCTATATCCTCATCTAGAGGGGTAGATCGGCTGGTGGGGCCCAGGCCACGCCAATGAGGATAGGGATCGGTCAAACGATGCTCACTGAGGACGTGCCCAGCATCTGCAAGCCCGCCCTGCTGAGGAACGGCGTGCTGGTCCCGTTCCCGGAGACGCGGGGACGCCGAAGCGAGGCGTTCACAAAAAGCGACGACCCACCCCGACTCTGCATTTTCCGCACCTTCCCACCGGCAGGTGGCTGATTTCTTGGATCGGCACCCCCCTGGCGGCGCCTCTGGCGCCACCCGTGGCGCGCTCCGCGCGCCAGGGAGGGGAGTACAGCACAGATCCAATAAAAATCCGCACGAGGAAGCCACATGCTGGTCGGAAGGTGTGGAAGGTGAAGAGTCAGGGCAGACCCTCAAATGTCGTGACTTGCTCACGGCGTCGACCCCCACAGATCTTGACCGCTCCCCCGGAGCCAGCTCTCCGTCCTGAGTCGCTATGCGACGGCCCTGGGGCCCAGCGAGGGCCCCCAGAGGCCGAGAAGCGTCCACAGCCGTCCGTCATGACTTTTCCAGGACGTGAGGGCGTCCGGGGGGCCCTACAGTCGGGGCCCTGAAGAAGGAACCCTTTTCGTTGGGGAGGGGCTCCGCGTTCCTTAAGTGTTTCGCAGCTTGCCTCAGGCTTTCCTTACGTTTTCGACAGGAAATCGAAGGTTAATTCTTTACGCTTCGCGTATCCCCACCAGCCCATCTCACAACAGCAACTCTTGCGAAGCATGCCGACAGTCGTGTTGTTTTTCAGGCGTGTGTCCGCTTGCCCCCGCATATCTCCCCTGTGACTCCTTCCTCCCGCCTCCTTGTACATCCTCCTTGTGGGGGGAGCGGGAGAAGGACGAGGCGGAGGAGGAGGGAGAGAAAGCGCTCCTCGTGGTTTGAGTCGTTTGGGGGTTCTCGTCCTGGTGTGAGTCGTTCGGGCCCTTCTTCCTGGTGTGAGTCGTTCGGGCTCTTCGTGGTGTGAGTCGTTCGGGCTCTTCGTCCTGGTGTGAGTCGTTCGGGCTTCTCGTGGTGTGAGTTGTTCGGGCCCCTCGTCCTGGTGTGAGTCGTTCGGGCCCCTCCTCCTGGTGTGACTCGTTCGGGCTCCTCGTGGTGTGAGTCGTTCGGGGCCCTCGTCGTGGTGTGAGTCGTTCGGGCTCCTCGTGGTGTGAGTCGTTCGGGCGCCTCGTCCTGGTGTGAGTCGTTCGGGCCCCTCCTTCTGGTGTGAGTCGTTCGGGCTCTTCGTGGTGTGAGTCGTTCGGGCCCCTCGTCCTGGTGTGAGTCGTTCGGGCTCCTCGTGGCGTGAGGCGTTCGGGCACCTCGTCCCCTTTTGGGGCGTCTTGGGGGCCTCTTGGCGGCCCCAGGGGCTTCTAGGAGCGTCTTGGGTGCCTTGGGGGAGCCTATTCGGGCCTCTTGGGAGCCTCTTGGAGGCCGTTTGGGGCGTCTTGGGGGCCTCTTGGCGGCCCCAGGGGCTTCCAGGAGCGTCTTGGGTGCCTCGGGGGAGCCTCTTGGGGCCTCTTGGGGGCCTCTTGGGGGCATCTTGGGGGCCTCTTGGAGGCCTCTTGGGGGCCTCCTGGGAGCCTTTTGGGGCCATCTTGGGGCCTCTTGGTGCCTCCTGGGCGCTTCTTGGGGCCATCTTGGAGGAAATCGATCAAAGAAGAGGGGAGCTTCCATGAGCGCTGCCCCCTCAGAAGGGCAAAATGAGCCCAAAACCTTCGGAAAATCAATGATTTTGCCCTGAAGGAAGAGGGGAGCTTTAATGAGCGCGGCCCCCTCCGAAGGCCAAAATGGGGCCGAAACCGTAGTAAAATCAATGATTCTGGCTTCAAAGAAGAGGAGAGGGTTTTTTCTGCCTCCCCCCGTCGGGGCCAGAATCCTCGTGAGGGGTGTCGTGTTGTAGCCCTCCCAGGAGTCGAAATTGACCCCCCTGACGACCCGCCGGACCCCCTCTCCAGGCCCAGGGGGAGGGGGTAGGGGGAGGGGTAAACCCCTCCCCGAAGGGGAAGAAGGGGGGTTGAGAACAGAGCGGGCTCTCTAAACCACTCACGCCCAAAGGGCTGGTGGGATAGCGTAGTAGTAGTAGTAGTAGTAGTAGTAGTAGTAGTAGTAGTAGTAGTAGTAGTAGTAGTAGTAGTAGTAGTAGTAGTATAGTAGTAGTAGTAGTAGTAGTAGTAGTAGTAGTAGTAGTAGTAGTAGTAGTAGTAGTAGTAGTAGTAGTAGTAGTAGTCGTAGTAGTAGTAGTAGTAGTAGTAGTAGTAGTAGTAGTAGTAGTAGTAGTAGTAGTAGTAGTAGTAGTAGTAGTAGTCGTAGTAGTCGTAGTCGTAGTCGTAGTAGTAGTAGTAGTAGTAGTAGTAGTAGTAGTAGTAGTAGTAGTAGTAGTAGTAGTAGTAGTAGTAGTAGTAGTAGTAGTAGTAGTAGTAGTAGTAGTAGTAGTAGTAGTAGTGTAGTAGTAGTTAGTAGTAGTAGTAGTAGTAGTAGTAGTAGTAGTAGTAGTAGTAGTAGTAGTAGTAGTAGTAGTAGTAGTAGTAGTAGTAGTAGTAGCAGTAGTGGAGTCGTAGTCGTAGTAGTAGTAGTCGTAGGAGTAGAAGTAGTAGTGGATGTCTTTTGGTCGGAGGCCTCTGGGGGCGTCTTCGGCGCCTCGTGGGGCCTCTTGGAGACATCTTGGGGGCATCTCCTCGTGGGGCCTCTTGGGGGCCTCTTGGAGCCTCTTGGGGCCTCTTGGGGGCCTCTTGGGGGCCTCGTGGGGCCTCTGGGGGCCTCTTGGGGGCATCTTCTCTTGGGGGCCTCTTGGGACCTCTTGGGGGCCTCTTGGGGGCCTCTTGGAGGCCTCTTGGGGGGCTCCTGGGTGCCTCTTGGAGCCATATTGGGGCCTCTTGCGACCTCCTCAGAAGCGCAAATGAGCGCTGCCCCCTGAGAAGGACAAAATGAGCCCAAAACCTTCGTAAAATCAATGATTTTGATATGAAGGAAGATGAGCGTGGCCCCCTCAGGAGGCCAAAATGGGGCCAAAACCTTAGTAAAATCAATGATTTTGGATTCAAAGAAGAGGAGAGGGTTTTTTCTCCGCCCCCCCGTCGGGGCCAGAATCCTCGTGAGGGTCGTCGTTTTTTAGCCTTCCCAGGAGTCGAAAAAGACCCCTCCAACCACCCGCGAAACCCCCTCTCCAGGTCCAGGGGGAGGGGGGAGGGGGAGGGGTAAACCCCTCCCCGAAGGGGAAGAAGGGGGGTTGAGAACAGAGAGAGCTCCCTAAACCACTCACGCCCAAAGGGCTGGTGGGACTTATGGAAAAAAGGGGCCTCGTTCCTTATTTAGAGTTCCTTAGGTCAGCGCCCCGACTGTATCGGCATGAGAACGAAAAGACAAACGGCAAAAAAAGATATCAGCACCGCTTGCGGTGGCCGACGCTGCGCGCCCCGCGCTGCCCCCCTGTCCCTCCCTGCGCCGAGGGCGAGGAGGGAGACCCAGAGGGCCCCGTCGACGCGGCGGCTCTTGGGGGCGCGCCCCTGGACCCAGACCCCCACGATGTGATTGCGAAGGCCTTACGGCCGGTGCCGCCGACCCTGAAGACGAAGCTGTCTGTGACGCCGTGAAGGCCGAAACGTCATATATGCTAGAAATGTAAGTTCCCGATGGAAGAGTAATGAGTGTGGCCTCTTGGGCCCTTCTTGGGGGTGCTCTTGGAGGGGGCCTGGGACGTCGCTCCTGGACCCAGACCCCCACGATGTGATTTTCTCTACTGGCGGTTCTTCTTCGGTTTCGGCCCTGGGGGGGGGCCGTCTTCAAACCTCAGGACCCCCTTCAAAGGTGGATCCGCGACGATAAAAGCACCCCAGGAG